CCTGTACACACATAATGGCTATGTTCAGTCATGCGCTAACAGCTTTCATTACAGAACAGCGGGCTTCCAGGATTTTGGAGGAGTGTTTAATTGGCAGCGCCGTATTTGACAAGCATCCCGAAGAAATGAATTTCAGCCCACATGTTTGGACTTTCCATCCCTATTGTGTCCGGCGCACAATTGGTAAACATCCCTCACATTGTCTCTGTTTGGCTGTGCTGAATTGCGGTGCGCGTCAATGGGGAATTGCTGGACTGGACAACGGCTGGCCACGACTTCCCAGAGATTCTCTACAGATTAACTCCAGAGATAAAGTATCTGGGTTTTCTCCACATCTCCCACTTCGTCCTCCTGATGGAAAGCTACCCAGGCTGTTAGCGAGTCTGTTCCCTTTGCAAATCCTAATAGCGACTACAACTTAAGCAGCTTGACACATTTGAGTGGAAAAATGAATTGATAGAAGTCTATTTAACTTTAGGAGGCCGCTATCATCCTGTGCTAGTGCGAGTTATAATGGCCCCTGCTCATTTTTTTCCAGCTTTACAGTATGGCAAATGTTTCTTACAGCCTTCGAAATCGCCAATCCCTGCAGCCCTTTATAGCTAAATGCCTTTAAGTCAAAAAGCCGACAAGAAAATCAATTACCGGGTCTGAAGAACCAGTCATAGGTGTTTCAGCCTGCAGATTCCAAGGTTAAAATGCAAAAAGAGACAGGCAGTTAACTCGAGAATGGAAATTCTGTCATTCTTTACTTACCATTATGACATTTCATTCCTGAATGAGAAGGTGAGGACGTGTTTAGCAGGAAGTTCATGCTATTCTTTACATACAATGACAGTGAATGGTGTACAGGGGCAGTCAAGCTTTAGACATGACATGACGGTCACATGAAAAAAAAAAAAAGTAACAGCAGTCTATACAAACTGTTAACTATTTTCCAAATCATCTGAAGGCATAATTCTTTCACTCTCTCTCAAATTTAATTTGTGTAATGAGAATGTGTGTAGGTGATGTAAAAAAAATGCTTATCATCCACACATATTTTCATCACATATTTTTAAACATGTCAATGAGATTTGAGCAACAGGGAAAAAAAATGAATGTTTTGTTAACACCAAGAGTTCAATTCGAGTTTATTTGTATAGCGCTTTTTACTATAATTATTGTTTCTAAGCAGCTTTATAAAAGGTGCACATTATTGCATAACAGGTTAATTTTAAGTTACAATCAAAGTTAATATTTGTGTATTTGTTTATTAAGTAATGTAATGGACTCCTTATGGGCCTTCCCAAAAAGACAGCCAGACAGTTGCAGCTCATCCATTACGCTGCAGCCAGAACCAGAAAATCAGAACACATCACACCTGTCCTCAGGTCTTTACACTGGCTCCCAGTTACATTCACAATAGATTTTAAAGTATTATTACTTGTCTATAAATCACTAAATGGCCTACACCTCAATACATTACAGATATGCTCACTGAATACAAACCTAACAGATCACTCAGACCTTTAGGATCTCAAATCCTAGAAATTCCAAAGCTACGTCCGAAACCGCCTACTACTCAGTATATGTACTGCATTTGAATTTAAACGTACTACTCGGCCGTTAGAAAAGTATGTTCTATACAGTATGAATGTGAAAAGTATTAATGGAATTCGGACGTACTACATCCGCCATTTTGACATGGTCACATGACCTACTTGCGTCAGCTGCTTGCATACATGGGATGCGCACTTCAGAATCTCGCCAAAAGTAAGTCATCCGGGTACTTCTCGCATACTGATTTTTGAATTCTAGGAATTTGGACATACTACTCGGCTCACATACTGATTTTAGCGTACTACATAGTATAGAAGTATGCGGTTTCGGACGCAGCCCAAGAGTTCAGTCAAAGCAGGGTGAATCAGCCTTCAGCTACTACACCACCTGCTGCTGGAATCAGCTTCCAAATATGATCAGACGTGCTCCAGCATTAGGCATGTTCAAATCCAGACTGAAAACACATCTGTTCAGTTGTGACTTCACTAAATGAGCAACGTGCTACGTCAGACAGATCGCACTATGTCATCTTTCTTTTCTTTTTCATTCTTTTATAAACAATTTAATCACATCTTATGCAGTTTTTAGTCACTTTTATTTGTTTTTTATACTTATTTCTTTCATTCCTGTTTATGTAAAGCATTTTGAATTGCCACTGAGTATGAAACATGCTATATAAATAAACTTGCCTTGCCTAATATATATAACAATATATTAGCTGGCTGGATTATCATTTTATAGTTTATTAGCTTTGATTTTTTTTTCTAAAAGTATTTCCAACAACCTGTTTAGTATGTGTGTGTGTAAGTCCTAAATTCATGAAAATACTAAATGTGTGAGAAACACTTTAATTGTCTAAAAAAAAAAAAATTCTACAACAAAGAATCTTTGGTACAATGAAACAGTTCAATGAATGTTAAAAGGTCCAAATGAAAACTTAGATGATAATAAAAAATATGTTTCCTACAATTCATAGTTCTCTAAGGTAGCATGAACAGTGTTAATTTCGATTATAGTGGACAATCTGTGTGCTCTATTTTTATGGTGCTTGTGGTCACCATTCACTTTAATAGCAAAATATGAAAAATGCAAAATATTAGTTTTAAATTCAACTGCTAAACATGCTCTTTTCATGTTCTACAGAAGAAAGTCATAGACACTCTCAGAAATAAAAGTACAAAATCTGTCACTCGAGTGGTACCTTTTCATAAGGTTCACATTTATATCTAAAGAGTAAAAATTGCTACCTTTAAGGTACATATTAGTAGCAAAAGTGTACATACAAAAATCTACCTTTTGAAACCTTTTGTGCCTTTATTTCTGAGATTGCAGGTTTGAAAAGACATGAAGGCCAGCATATGACATGAAAAGAGATCTTTAAAAATCTTTGCAGCTGTTTTGTTCCAAAGTGTATCTGCAAAGGTAGAGCTTAAAGTACAGTACTCCACCACAGACAGCCGATAATGAAAAATCCCCAGTATTTGAGGAACAATAGCTAACGAGTCCATCTGACTATACCATACAATGATATCAACTGTTTTAGTTACAACTTAAAACTAGCTTACAAAGACACTTTTGGGCTTAACATAACTAACTCAAGTACAGTACATCACAACGCTGAAGGAAATCTAAAACATGCAAATCTTCATTTCACCTGTATGCCTGTCTACCTATTTTTAACCTATTTTACCACCGCACAGAGGCCATGGGTTTCAATTGTGATACTCAACTGGAAGAATCAAGGCACAAAGAGCAGCTCAAGGAATTACAAATCGTGTCCATCAAAGTCTGAACGCTCCAGCGCAGCAGGTGACCAGTTTTATTCGTCCCATGAGATTCCACCCCTCCTTTCTCTCTCACTCTCAAGTGAATATTTTATTAATAAACATCAGTCAGAAACGGATGGCAGACGAATTCATGTTGATTAATTAACAACCCCTAAAATAACCTATGCAGCACAAAGCAAACAAGCCCAGGCAGTTTGATAAACTGGCACGACACTTCGGTTGCGCTGCCTGTTAAAATGACACAAGACGGGCGAATAAAGAAGTGTCATTAAAACAAGCAGCTCATGTTGATGCTTCAAAAGCGGGGCTTGACATATTCCTGAAAGGGCATTGTATTATGCACACTTCACACCCCCGCAGAGAAAAGGTTAGAGGATGCCACGTGAGGATGATAGCAGTAATAAACAGCTGTTACGGCCAAGATCACATCCTTAAACCTCTATAATCAGGATTGCTGTAAACAGCGTGTTATGTTCATTCCCCTCTAAATGCTCGCAGCAGATTACAGTGGCTATGAAAAGCAAGCAGCGGAGGGATATAGATTTTTTTTTTCAAACACGCTTTTGAAAGAGACAGAAAAAGATAAAGAAAGCAAAGATGCAACACCCTTCAGCGTGCCGAGCTCCTGCATCAAACCTGTGATGTGCTCCTTCTCCCTCTCTTTCTCTCTGCAGTGAATGCATGAACTTCCACCAGTCATGAGTGAAATTTTCTGGCAGATATGCAGCCGCTCATACATGGAGAGGCTGAGCTTAATCCCTCAGTCCTGTGTGAGCTGCATAATAGAAACAAATGTATTCCCTCGCGTGCAGAGGAGAGAGGTATCATCTGACACTGCTACTTTATCACTCTAGGAACTAAAGGGGCTTATTCTTTACTAGCAATGAACTTGTGTTAAGCTGGGAAATCCGTCAATGTTTGAGTATTGTCAGATCATCTGCATCTGCTTGGACGATTAACAAAAGTGTTCTAGATCCACAATTTACAGAGAGTGTGGGATTTTTAACAGCATTTACCAGCTTTTAAATATGGTGTAAAATCAAATACAACTGTAAAATTCACCAGTTTGTCACTAAAATGACACTAAATCGTAAAGTAACCTGTTTCTTAGCACCAGCGCTGACCATTCTGCTTTGTAGATCTCTAAATCATTAACAGAAATAAAACAATGAGATAATAAAAACAGATTGTACTGTTTAAGCACACTTTTTGTTTTAGATTTTTCTACAAAATATTAGCAATAGATACACAGACAGACAGACGAACAGATAGATAGATAGATAGATAGATAGATAGATAGATAGATAGATAGATAGATAGATAGATAGATAGATAGATAGATAGATAGATAGATAGATAGATAGATAGATAGATAGATGATAGTAATTTCTAATAAAAAAGCAAGTAGTTCTAAGACAAAATAGAAAAAGCACAAATTAAAGTATTTTTACTGTAAATACAATGTTTTTTTTACAAACTTGATTAATGGTTTAAATGAATGATAATACATGCCTCGCGTATTCATTATTAATTAGCATGTGTATAATAAAATTCTGCTCAACTGAATGTATATTTAGGAAATCATACACGCATATGATCGAATTCATAGTTTTTGAACATGACGAATGTATCGACACATGCAGGTCTAATAGCTCCGCGTGTGCAACATACCTGCGATTTATGCTGCTGTCCATCCTCGAGTTCTGAAACACTGTTCATGATTTTCCATCGATCATTTACCATTCTCTGGAATCCTTACCATCCGTGAGTTGTTTTCATAGGCATGAGGAGAGAACGGGACTGTCAGTTTTAAATTCCAGCATCCAAGAAATAGAAAAGGGGGAAACAACACAACAGTCTACGGGAACTAAACTATTTCTCAAGCTCTTCCGCACAAACCTACTGAGAACCGGGACACAGAACTACAGATCCACACTCATTTTGTAAAAGAAAAACATACGTACTTCAAGGGACTTGTCCCTTCACCCTTAAAAAGAAACGAACAAAAAATGCAGTCCAAAAGCAGATCCGATGTCCTCAGCGCACTCAAACGCTGAGGAGAAGGTGTGACGGTTTGCGGATGATGTGTTCGTTTGCTGGCAGGTAACGTTATTCCTTCTCAGATATATAAAAAACTTTCCTGTCCAGTCCGCGAGAGACAAAAACACGCGAATTCAGACGAAAAACCACAAAGTTTTGCGTAATAACTGTGTTAAGCATCCGTTTGTTTTTGCTTCATTCCTGTGGTGTGTGGACACGCGTTTGTGGTGGAGAGCTCCTGAAATCCGTCCCCCTCCCTCGCCTTTACGCCGTGTCTACAGCGATGTCCGATCCATGAATGAGTCGGATCTTTTTAGTGAATCGTTTCAACCGGTTCATTAAACCGTTCTGAATTACTACACGTTTTTGCACTAGATTGAGACATAAAGTCGAGTCTTGCTGGTCTCGAATGGACAACCCTCTGATTCATTCAAACGTCTCTTTTGAACATGTCCGAATCATTAGCCCCTTTCACACATACAGACCTTTCTGGAAAATTACCGGCAATTTTCCGGAAAGGTTGTATGTGTGAACAGGTCCTTTTTGAAAAAAACGGTAAATTTGTTCTGGCTATTTTCCGGAAAGAGAAGTTGTAACATTACCGGCAATTTGCCGGAATGCTGCGCTGTGTGAACGCAGAAGGAAGATTGACGGAATAAGCGCGTGCACGTCTAGAACGTGCTGACGTGAGACGTCCGCTTTAGCCAATCACAACAGTCAGATGCATTTACGTCCGCGCGGTTTATGAGAATAAAAGCCTTTGAATATTTTTCCAGGCACATTTAGCTGCTAGAAGTTAGTCAGATCAAATTTATATGTTCTTCTTAATGCCAACTGTATAAATAATCATCGATGAGATGCTTATGACAAGCCGTTGTTTGTTTACCTTCAAGCTTTGCGTGTGCCTGTGAAACAGCCTGTGAGCGCCTGCACACGCAGATATTATGAACATCTCGACATGCGAAAGTGATCCTGCGAAAGTTGTTCACAATATTGATCATCCACAGAGTTTGTAATTTAGTCAAATGTTTACAAATACAAGCGCAGCCGTTTAAAGCTCATTTCTGGTTAATGATGTCAGAATTTACCGGTATTTTGGAATGGATGTGTGAATGCTCTTTTCCGGAAAATTTCCGTAACGTCCTCGCCTGTGTGAAAAGCACTTTTTTGAATATACCGGTAAAGTCAGTCCGGAAATTTTCCGGATATTTGCCGGTATTACTGTGTGAAAGGGGCTATAATGAGCCGAGAAGAACCGATGAGTGAGACATTAGCCCCTTTCACACATACAGACCTTTCCGGAAAATTACCGGCAATTTTCCGGAAAGGTTGTATGTGTGAAAGGGGCTAATACAGAGCATATGGAGTGTAACGAGGATTTGACTGATGAGGCGAATACAAAAAGGGGTTGAAAATAAAATGTAGGGTACATGACGTCTTTCAAACAGGCTTATGTGAAGCGATAGTTTACCAAAAAATGAATATTTGCTCTTAAATTATCCACCCTCAGGCCATCACAGATGTTTTTTTTTTTTTTTCTTGCAGCACTTGTTTCCCTCTTTTCTGTTTATTATGGCTGAAATCAAACCAAAGTGATGATGTCTGTATAAAGAACTGATACTTATTTTAAACATTACGCTATTGTCTTTTCCTGAGTTTATGATCACATTCCATTGGGTTGGTAATTTCCTTGGTTTATTACAGAGATGGCTAACTGATTGTGTCTACATCATAGTTCTCAAACTTGATTCCTGTTGGGCCGCAGCTCTACGCAGTTTGCTCCAACCCTAATCAAACACAGCTAATCCAACTAATCAAGGTGTTTAAGACTACTAAAGACTATTAAGCAGGTGTGAGTTGGAGGTGGTTGAAGCTAAACTGTGCAGAGCTGTGGCTCTCCAAGAATTGTGTTTGAGACCGTTGGTCTTCATTGTGTTTTAAAGCAGTGTTTCCCAACCTTGTTCCTGAAAGAACACCAACAGCACACATTTTTAACGTCTTTCTAATCAAACACCCAAATCAACCCATGAAAACATTAGAAGAGACTCAAAAACCTAAAATGATTGGGTTAGATAATGGAATGTTTAAATATGTAGCCTACTGTTGGTGTGCCTCCACACTGAAAAAAAAATACTGGTTGTCTTAAAATTTTAAGCTTAATTAGATTAACCTTATGAGTCATTTGAACTTATATTATATTAAACTGACTTAAAACAGCTTGCTTAACTCATAAAATTAAGTTGGAACAAGATTAACTTAGTTTTATATGTTACAATTAACCAAAAACATGTCATGAATAATTGATCAAATAATTTTAACAAATTTTGAACAAGAGCAGAAACAGGGTTGGGAAACACTGCTTTAGAGCGTTTGCTTATCTCCAATATGTCTCTGTGATGTCTCCTAAATAAATGTTCAGATTATGTCTGTAAAATAGTTATAAAACAGATCAATTAAAGATCTCTGTACCCAGGAGATGCTGTCCAGACCAAACGCTCTTTTGAATACATCTTGAAGACTTACATGTGCTGTCTGGGTTTACATTGAGTGTTGTGTTCATATTTCAGACAAAATGGCAAGATGTGGACAGAGTATATCTTTTGCTCGGAGTTCTTAAGCTGATTGTATGCAGCAAAGTTTAAATATTCACCTGCCGGCCACTTTATTAGGTACACCTTACTAGGACCGGGTTGGACCTCCTTTTGCCTTCAGAACTGTCTTAATCCTTCATGGATTCAATAAGGCACTGGAAATATTCATCAGAGATTTTTTTCTTTCATATTGACTTGATAGCATCTCGCAGTTGCTACAGATTTGTTGATGAATTTTCCGTTCTATCACATCCCTGAGGTGCTCTATTAGATTGAGATCTAGTGGCTGTGGAGGCCATTTGTGTACAGTGAACTCATTGTCATGTTCAAAAAACAGGAGTGGCACCCAGTGTCTTCTGCTGCTGTAGCCCATCCACCACAAGGTTTAATGTGTTGTGCATTCAGAGATGCTTTTCTGCATACCTCGGTTGTAACGAGTGGTTATTTGAGTTACTGTTGCCTTTCTATCAGCTTGAACCAGTCTGGCCATTCTCCTCTGACATCAACAAGGCATTTGTGCCCACAGAACTGTCGCTCACTGGATATGTTCTCTCTTTCAGACCATTCTCTGTAAACTCTAGAGATTGTTGTGTGTGAAAATCCCAGTAGATCAGCATTTCTGAAATACTCAAGACTAGCCCGTTTGGCACCACCACCATGTCACGTTCAAAGTCACTTAAATCCCCTTTCTTCCCCATTCTCATGCTCAGTTTGAACTGCAACAGATGGTCTGGACCATGTCTACATGCCTTAAATGCTTTGAGTTGCTGCCATGTGATTGGCTGATTAGAAATTTGCATTAAAAAGCAGTTAGACAGGTTTACCTAATAAAGTGGCCAGTGAATGTAAGCATTCAATGTCATTCAAATGAACAGCACAAGAGCAATCACACAGTAGGCTACATTTAAATCAAACCAAACCTGCCAAGTGTAAACGCAACCAAAAACCAAAGGCGGGGCATAGAATAGCTCCTCCCCTTTTAAACAATAGTGGTTAATTTTACTAGCTGTGCCAGTGCAAGTGGTTAAGATCAAGTGTGTTTATACAGTCATTGGTTAAACTAAAAGTAATTGAGAAGCATCTTGAAAGAGGCAGAAATCAGAATTTTGTAATTGTTTAGGAGCACAATATAGATATCCTTTACACCAGGGGTCACCAATCTCGTTCCTGGAGGTCCGGTACCCTGCAGGATTTAGCTCCAACTTGCCTCAACACACCTGCCTGGGTGTTTCAAGTATACCTATAAGACCTTGATTAGCTTGTTCAGGTGTGTTTGATTAGGGTTGAAGCTAAAATCTGCAGGACACCGGACCTGCAGGAGCAAGTTTGGTGATCCCTGCTTTACACTAACATGCTGATACTAGCACCTAAAAATGCATTTTAATTTAACAGAATCCATATTTGTATTAAATACCATAACATAACCATAACTCTTTTTTTGGAACACTTGTGAAATCCAGAGACACAACACAACTGTAAATCTATCGCACTAAAGACTATGGAAGCAACATCATATAGTCAAACTCTAAAATGTAACTGTGAATATAAACTTTAATGAATTGTGTAGGCGTACAAACAACAGGTCATTTCATAGCTTTAAAATATAGTGCTTGTTTGTGCTTGCAGCTTTCTTTTAGCTAAGCATTCTGCTTGATCATTAATAACAGAGTGTTTTCTGTTCTCGAACAGATTGCTCATATGCTCTTGTCTCACCAGTGTATTTACTAGACAGTACACACCAATTCATGTCATTTAGATTTACAGATGTACAGTACAAATGTGCTTTTTTCATCTACAAACATTTTGAGGGTTATTTTGAGGTCATTGTGTTCTGTTTCCTGCTGTTGTGTTTATCAAAAAAAGCATCTCTGCTTGAAAAAGTGTTTATAGTCAGAGTTACATTGATCAACACTGACACATGCAACTGCAAATGCAGACTGTTTTTATACACTTGTCACATTATTTAAACTATATTTTGCAAATCTGCAGATTTACTTTTTTTTTTCTCCTCCAAAAAGTCTGGAGCTTTTTATTAGCATTTTATATTTCTTTCAACCCAAAGTCCATATGGATTAAACTGTATTTAAATATGCCTTTTAATTCATGTCTAACATCCATTTAATGATTTTTTTTCCCAAATGTTGTTATGAAAAAAAGCTATAAAATGTATGATTGCAATACACTCTTAAATATGAATGTTAAGAAAGTAGATTTTCACACTAGTGCCATAGAACAACTGTATGTTGGTTGCTAAAAGAACACTTTGCATCTTAATTCATTAATTCATTGACCTTCTAGCTGCAACCCATCTCTTGGAAACATCCATAGAGATTCACAATAGGAAACATCCATTCTCATTCACACACATACACAACAGACAATTTAGCCCACCCAATTCACTTACAGCACATGTTTTTGGACTGTGGTGGAAACCAGAGCACCTTGAGGAAACCCACGCTAACACGGGGAGAACCTGCAAACTCCACACAGAAATGCCACTGACCTAGCCGAGGCTTGAATCAGTGACCTTTTTGCTCTGAGGTGACCGCACTAACTTAATTAATAATCTAAACATTGCAATAATCTAAAGAGACATTATTCCCATTAAGCACAGGATGTCAACATGACATTAGATTGATGTTTTACCCCAACGCCGTAGGGACGTTGCATTTGGTTTGGAAATA